AATGACATGAATGTGGCCCATGTAGTTTGCTGAAAGGTGAATATCCTTGGCTGGATTGTACTGATTATCGTTACCAAGCTTGTAATGGGAAGAATAGCACTGGAGAGTAATACGATCAATTTAAAAGTCAGCTTTCTGACTGGAATGGGAAAACACAGGGGCGTTTGGGATTCTGTGAGTGTGTGGAAGTTACATGTTCTGGGAGCAGAGCTTCCTGTACTAAGAATGGCTAGTAGCTGTAAAGGAAGGAATCCTTCAGGCAGCTCTCCATGAGTTTAGCCTTGGACACTTGCCTAGAGGACTTTGTCTGCACCAGCCCCCAGGTCATTAGTGTTTGCTGTCAGATGTTGTCACTCAAAGCTGCATGTGTTTTGTAAATGTAAGCTTTTCTGTCTGATAGAGGATCAGGTGAATGTGCATCTAGAAACCTGAACACTGATTATTACAGATGCAAATAATTTTGGTGCATGAAAGGACTACAGAGGTCTTAGAAAGTTAAAATATTCCTTTAATGGATAGAGAGTATCACCCACAAAGAAGCCTAAGAAGGAAAATCGTAAGGAGAAAGAATCAAAGGTGGTGTTGAGGGGAATGCGAGGCAGGAGAGCTTGAGGAGGAAGAACCTTTACCCCTAGATGCTCAGAGATGGTGAGTGTGGCGGCAGAATATGGCCACAAAAGATGCCCACATTGTAGTCCCTTTTGTCACCTTATGTGGCAGACATGACTAAGGTCACAGATCTTGAGATGAGGAGATTAGAAGTCTGTAAAAGCAGCAGACCTTTTCTGGCTGTGGTCCAAGGAAAGTTAGTGGAAGAGGGTCAGATGCGGTGCTTCTGGCTTTGAAGATGGAGGAAGGGGAAGAGACGCCAAGGACCGCAGGTGTCTTCAGCAGCCGGAAGAGGCCAGCTTAGAGCCTCTAGAAAGCAGCACATTTGAGCTGACACCTTAATTTTAGCCCCGTGAAAGCCATTTCAGACTTGGAATCTGCAAAACTGGAAAGTGATATATTTGTGTTATTTTAGGCCCATAAGCGTGTGGTCATTTGCTACAGCAGCAATAGGGCACCAGCAGAGTGGCATGACCCAGAGAGAGACAAAAGTGCATGCCTTGTCTCGGCGACTTTTAGGAGGACTACTGCTCTGCTGCTGACCCGGGGGGAGGCAGTGTGCTAGTTGTTGGAGAGCAAGACTTAGATTTTCTATTTTTTTGGTAACAGTGACAGTAGGTTCCCACCAGTACAAGTACAATCAAAGAACAGTAAGGCCCTGTTCCTTTTCTAATGTGAGAAGTATCTGAAAGAGAAACAAAAAAATAGCCACTGGACATTTATAACAGACATATCGATAAGGATGTTTGTTCTTGATAGTTCTGAGGAGCAAAAGAGATGAACAGAGTTAAGAACAGTATGTGTGGCCTCAGCTATCTCCACTCATAATGAATGAATCTTGAAAATTACTTGGAGGAGCTAGGTAAAAATATCAATATCCTCACATTTCCTACAGACTCTTAACCCCTTTGCATGGATTCATTATCATGTCTTTCTCCTATTAGATGCTATGGATTTTGAGGGTAAGGATCAGGTCTTAAGCATCACTGTATTGCTAGCACCACGCATGAATGGGCATTTTAGATGTTCATTGAACGAGTAAGTAAGTGCACATTTATGAATGAATGAACATGAAGGAAGGGTTGCAGGACTTCTACGAGTGGAAAAGGTCATTTCTTTTCAAAGAGTGTCCAGAAAATAAGTAACCAAGCAAAATCATAAAAATTTTAGAAATGAAATTGCAGCCTTATCTCACTAAGTAATCAGGGAAGTGTAAATTATAACAACAGCAAAATGCTGTCCTCCCTTTTTTTTTGTTCCATCAAATCGAAAAACACTTTAAGACTGATTTTCCAGCACTGGCGTGGGGTGAAGGATAGGCTTCAGCACCGTTTGTCTTGTGTAATTGGCCTAGTTTTGTTTTTGGACATTTTGGCTGTGCTTACCAAAATGTCACATTTTAAGTAGCTTTGGACCCAGCATGCCTATTTCTAAGCAGTGCTTCTAGAAATATGTGTGGCCACAGCTAGAATGATGCTGACAGCTGCATTACCGGCATTTCCAGTTCCCTTTCTCCCCCTGAACACGGAAGTAAACATGAAAATGACTATTCACAATAGTAAAATGGCTCTGTATGCTGAATGCTATGCTTTTGATAAGATAAAAGTACGATGCAGACACTGCCTCTTTTATTTTTAACCTTAAGAAGAATTCTTTTACTCTGAATGTCTAATATCAGACTTGACGAAAACTGTATTTCCGAAGCCTGGGATTATGACATAAATTGATAAATGGAGAGTAGCTAGGTTTGACTTTGTATACTGTAGGATGAGATTTTCATGAGCATTCAAAGCCAGGATGAGAAATTGAAGTTTAATTCAGCTACCATGAATGGCATATTATAAATCTTTGTCTTACTATTTCTACAGACATCACTTTACTAAATGCATGTTAATAATATATACGTATCTTTCCATATCATAGCAATGTAGTATTTTTTGAGTATGCATTCTTCACTAAATATTTAGTTCTCAGTTATTTTTCAGTTACACAGAACTGAATATTTGATTCTCAAAATTCTTCAAGTTACTCAATATATGCATTCAGCATCAAATATTTAAGTTTCTTGTATATTTATAATCTCAGCTGCTGTCCGAACTAAGTCAGAGATGAGGTTTGTAAGAGTAACTAGAGATTGCGAAATAGGATTGAACATGCTGTGGAAGTTTAATAAAAAAGCAAAACGTGAAATAAAAGGAAACGCCTGTGTGTTTATTACTTTTAATTTTTTGGTGGAGAGTGAAAGTTGAGCCTTGTTGAATCAGGAAGTTTTACAGTATGGAGCTCATTGCTACACAAAGCCAAACTTGACATTGTTCTGGGTGTCTTCCAGCAGTGTGATCAAGCTGACTAACATTCTGTCTACTCCATGAAACTCCAAGACAAGGAACCTGCTTTTCCACTAATAAGCACCACAGTTCTGGACAAAACCTCTTTAACTGGTCCTGCTGCTCTGCAGGTGGGCCCCTTTGTGCGTCCCTTAGTTCAGAGGACAGGAAGGTAACCTTTGCTAGGGGTCATCAGGGAAGGCACCCAGAGAAGGTGGGGTATTTCCTAGGCTTTTGAAGCAAATAGTGGTAGAAGAAATGGTCTGTGCCTTGCACCTACACTCTGTGGCATGGGAGGAGAGACCAAATGTACAAAGACAGACATCTAGATACTGACGTGAGTTGTAGCCCCAACAGCAGAGAAGCTGCTCTGTAGTCTTATTAGCAATGAGCTGGTTTGAGGCAGAGAGAGGACATGCTCAAGACTGGGCATTAGCAAGGATAACTGGTGTTGTACATGGCGTAGTGAACTGCTAGAGCTGGGACAGGGAGACAAAGGTGCTTTTGTGGGAATTTGGAAGACGTGCCAGCTCATGCAATTTGCCAGGGATTTGTTTGTTGGCAAGGAGAAGCTGCAGGAGTCACCTTTAAGAGAATCACTAGTAAAAGAGGCTCCCTCCTCTGAGCAGATTCCCCACCCTTCAAGATTTGAAGGCTGGAGCTCGGGATGGATTTTGGCTCCCTTGGCTGGGTGCCCTTGGGTAGGGCAAAACCTACAGCATCATTCACAGGGGTCCTGCCAGAATGGAGGCCTTAAATCCAAAAGCCGGAAAGGGTATTTTATGCCTCTCTCAGGTCCACCCAGAGCCTTTGTAGGCTGTAAACATCCTGTCCTACTGAGACTTCGGCTGCTATATGAGGCTATCTTTGCCCCTTGCATCCTGGGCCTCTGTTCATGTGTTCTGTCTGATGCCATGTTTACTCCCTTCATCTCCCATGCTCAGTGCACAGCCTTGTCCTGGGGACTGAGTAAGTCTAAAAACCAATACATGATATTATGTATATGAGTCAGGCTGGGAACATCCTCAATAATTGTATTATCAACAGCAGCCTGCTGTAATAAAGTGTGTGCAGGAACTTTGGAAGTGTCTTCTAAGTTCTGTGACAGCTTCTATGATAGTTCTGTGATAAATAGTTAATTGCTGTTTCTTAAAAACCAGTGATAATGTTAATAGATGTTTTCATGTTAATATCAACATCACTTAAAAAACGTATTAATGGTCTTAAAGATGGAGAAGACAGCAGTGGGTGTGATCAGCATACCCTCATGTGGGACCAGCAGGCAGTTTCTGCTGCTTTCCCAAGCATGTCTTCACGTATGCTGCCTGTTCACAAGTACACACACAACTTTGATACCTGTGCAGGTACAGAGGAAGAAACAGATGGAATGCTTCCCTTTCCACAGCTCCTGGATAATCTTCACCCTCTCCAGGGAGTCTCCCTGATTTCCTCTGCTAGAGTCTGCCCTCATCTCAGAACCCATGGGGCACACATGTTAGAAGCATTAGGTCCAGGACTATTTTAGATTGCTGTGTATTAGTCTAGATAGAGAGCAAGTAGCAGATTGGGTGTGGGCCCAGCTTCAAGTAATCGGTGATCCGTTTACCACCAGTATTATCAGAAATGTAGCCTCAATTGAATGTTTCTAAATGTGTATTTTTAGGAAATGGTATAAAGTTTGCAGCCTGGTGTCAAACAATATGCTGTCCTTGGTTCAGAAACTGTAACCCCCCCAGGTGTGGTCCTCAGCAAGTGGCACCGGTGGGCGGCCTTAGCAAGCCCTGGGGGTCGCGCCGGGGCGGAGCGACAGAAGCGCATTCTAGTCCCGTGCCTCGTGTTCAGTGGAGAAAAGAGAAGAGCCTCTTTTTGCGTTTTCTTCAGAACTTTCTTGCTCATAAAAATACTTTCTGAGAAAAAGATTCCTAAGTAAAATTAAGTAATTTATTTAACTTGATACACTTTTACCAAAGATTTCTAATTAACTAATAGAAATGAACATTGCATTAATTTTAGCATGCAGTTTTTTTGTTTATAACAGTCGTTTTTGTGGGGGGTATGTTTTAGGGCATCATTCAGAAGATAGTGGACAGTCACAAAGTAAAGCACGTGGCCTGCTATGGACTCCGCCTCAGTCACCTGCGGTCAGAGGAGGTTCACTGGCTCCACTTGGATATGGGTGTCTCCAGTGTGAGGGAGAAGCATGAACTTGCTCACCCACCAGAGGAGTGGAAGTAAGAATACAAACCGACTTCGGTGGGACTCGCACTTGATTCGTTTTGCATATAAATCACACACAAGGGGATGAATGTCTTTGCTTAATTTTCACACTGATTGTCATTATGACTCCTGTGTAAATAAAGGGGGCTGGGAATCATTAACCAGGGATCTTTTCTAGACTTCAGTCTGTCTTCTGGGTGCCACTGACTTGGATGGCTTGAGCCATCCGATTCTGTGATGGGCTTTTGGTAGTCACCCTTCTCTTGTCTGTGCTGCTTGGTTCCAACCTCTGTTTCTTGCTTTCAGCCTCTGTTCTGAGAAGTTAAGCCCTGGTTCTTGAACCATCTGTTCTGTCAGCATCCTTCTGTGCAGTGGGACTTGATGGGCCCTGACAAGACCATACCAGTTATCTCACTGATGGGCTCTTCAGCATGCTTTACTGGGCCGGCATCTACTTGCCTAAAGAACATGGGGTAGATTCGATATGCACATACAACATTAAATTAGGAGGTGATCTCCTAGTAATTCTGATACACACCTTAACAAGGCTGAAATGGTTTGAGGTGAATTAAAAGAATCCCTGTAATTGTCCTTTCTCTGGTTCTCTCCGAATATTTTTTCCACTATTAAGTAGGTCATTATGTTAGTGGAAGATGGCATGGCAAAAACACCTTTGAGGGAAGTACGACCTGTGAAGACCGTCTTCCCTCCACAGATCCTCTTGTTTGTAGTGACACTGCTGCAAGAAAGGCGGTGGCAGGCCACGTTCAGTTGTTAGCAACCTTCAGTCCAAGGATCTAAATCAGAGTAGACCTTTTTTTTAATTGAAGTATTGGTGATATACAATCTTATATTGGTTTTAGATATATAACACAGTTGTTCACCAGTTACCCACATTATTAAATCCTCACCCCCTCTAGTGTGGCTACTATCTGTCAACACAGCAAGATGTTACAGAATCATTGGCTGTATTCTCCATACTGTACTACCATCCCTGTGACCAACTTCTATTACAACTGAGAATTTTTGTGTCCCTTTATCCCCCTCATCCCATCCACCCACCCCAACCCTTCCCCCATGGTAACCACCAGTCACTTCCCAGCAAAATGTTTGGGTTAATAAATCTCTAGTTGAAAATAATCTTGTCCCAGTTGAAGAGTTCAGCAAGGAAATATACTTGTATTTTTAGATTTATCAAATAGCTCAAACAGAGCTAACAAAATATTGCATGAAGAAGTAATTTGATTGGGTTGCATCAATGGCTAGTGAAAATTTGACCTCCAGCGATTTAGCCAGTTAATCAATTAAGTGTTTAAAAAATAAGAGTATCTAAAAGTTTGTTTAAAATACCAGTAGGTATTTTTACTTAACATGCTTCTATTCTTAATTATGTAGACATGTCAGAGACACATTTCATTTTAATGATAGTCTTAGCGTTCAATACAATATTTATTGAATGTAAGCATCTGAGTGTAGGAGCTTTCTTTATGTTCTTTTAAGCCAGTCTCTTTTACCTTATTTCAAGTAAAATTGAGTAGACACTTCTTCACTTCATGGAGCCTGAATCCTTAAAAATACAATAAATTTAGCCTGAGTCAAGTGGACAGGGTCACACAGGCTGACCCTGCTCACCTGAAGGGTGGTGCAGATCCTGCTGTGATACTAACGCAGGTGATGAAGACCCTGTTGAGGCATCTCCGTCGCTGAGTGGCTGTAAGAGCCAGGTGATGTCCCTGCTGTTTATAATTGGCATAGGTGGAATTTGTGTATTTCATTTAATTCTCCCTAAACTTCATGAGATAAAGATGACTGTTATCCCTATTTCGTAGTTGGAAACTGAGGCTCAGCAAAATCGGTTAAGGTTGCATTCACACAGATAGTGTGTGACACGGCTTTGACTTTAATCTAGCTGTCTGACCTCATACTCAACATGTCCATCTCAGTAGGGCTCATGTAATGTTAGAAACAGAATGTAGCTAGGCTTGTAAGATTAGCTGAGGTTGCTTGGATAGTAGGTGGAAGTGATGAAGGAGAGATACAGTTGATGCATGTGATATTTTCAGGAGTGTGAGGGTTAATACTGATTGTTCTGTACTTAAAAGGAGAGGCAATTTTAGGTGTCAGAAAGGACAGGACACTTGAAAATAACCAAATAGCTTTGAAAAAGAACCAAACAAGTTCTAGAAATCACTGGATAGATAAAACAGCAGATTAGATACAGCTAAAAAATTAGTAAACAGGAATGTGGATCTGAGAATATTTTCCCAGAATATAGCACAGAGAGATGAACAGATAGAAAATATGAAATCAAGTTTATATAACATGATGAATGAGAATGTCAGCCCATTTCTGATAGGAACTTTGAAGAAGAGATTAAAAAGAATGAGGAAGAGGATATAATCCAAAGAAATCATGGCTGAGGATTTTCTAGAATCAATGACATGAGTCCTCAAATAGAGGATTAACATAAAATCCCAAGCAGGACTAATAACCTCCATAATTTTGTTTTATTTGGCAGATTATAGTAAAATAGTGTACAAAAGAAAAAGAGATGGTGATAAAAGCAACCAAAGAAAAATTCAGACTAATATGCAGCAAGAACAGATGATAAGAAAATAGTGGGTTGATGTTCAAAGTGAAGAGAAAAAGTGACTGGCAACCTGTGTTTGCTCAGTTAAATTACCATTCAAGAACAGAATGATCTAGACATGTTTTCCTCACAGGTTGCCACCACAGGCACCTCCTACAAATATACTTCAGGAAATAGGAAAATGATTTCTGAAGGAGGGTTTGTTTCGGTGCAGGAAGGCATGCTAGCCAAAAACCTGAGCAGATCTGAAGAGATATTGGCTCTAAAAACAGAAGGATGATAACTGATTTTTTTATTACAAAAGTAGAGATCAAATATTGGCTGCATGTTGGAAGAGAGGTAGAGCTGAATCCGTCTCAGCTAAGCTTTAAAATTATATATTAGGGCAACAGCTAACACATTAGAAGTAGATTTTATAATTTAAACAATAGATGGGTCAGTAGGTATAGAGAAATGCATAACCTAAAGAAGGCAAGAAATGGAGGCCAAGAAAGCCTGGGAAAACAGGATCACTAGAGGTTACAGACAAGGGCTTAGAAATAACTGCAGATATACAAACAGTGAATGGTCAGAGATTATCAGTGTGTGATTAAAAAAATTATTCCAACTATCTGCTCTTTATCAGAGAGATCTACAACAGCGGTGTTCAGACATTTTCATTTGACTTATAGGAAGAATATATTTTACCTGAAGATCCAGTACACACATACACATGTGTCTATCTCAGAACTCTTTGTATTTGAGGCCTGTATAAATATTACACAAAACCACACTCAGCCTTACTGTTTAACACTAAAATCTGAGATCCTCTCTTGGCGTTGTTCTGTTCTGTTCTACTTCAGATGGAGAAATAGTTAAAAGAATTTCACTACCCACTAACCAGGGGTGAGAGGGATTGGTATTGCTCTATTAATATCCTCAAATGCCTAAAAATGCCTTCTAAGGCAGAAAAGCATTATTGCAGATACAGAGGGCAACTTCATAATAAATTGAGTTTCATTTCACCAATATTGTAGGAAGGATAGAAATAGATATAATTCTTAGACTTTTAAATTCCTAAAGACACTCCTCAAACTGTATAAAGCAAAAATAATAAAACTTACCTCTCAATAATTAAAACATACAAACAACAGTAAACCATTTTTAAATTATGTAATTCTAATGTAGACATGTAGATGCCTGCACATAGCAGTATATTAATCAGTTTAAAAACACATTCCCAAATAACTCATGGTTGAAAGTAAGCACCGAGCTCGCTGAGGGACGGGCCTGAATGCTTTATTCTGAACATCCACTGGGCTCTTTGTCCTCCAGCCCCCTCTCTTCAGTAGCTGAGCAGCCAGTCACTCCCTCCCATCTAAATCCTTCCTTCACTTAGCCTCCTGGATACCAGACGCCTCTCCGTTGGAGGTTCTTCTCCTGTCTGCTCCTCGCTTAGCCTTTACATTTTGGGCTGTTCCAGTGACCTCTTTCTCTCGCTCTAGACCTGCATTTGGCATTAAATTCACACTTTAATTGCATACAAACAGCAAACCAATAAACAAGTTCCTGTGATAACCCAGGCCAAAACCATAAGAGATGGTAGACATGGGAAGCAGAAATAGGAGTGAGAAGCAGCCATACGGGGGTGGGTTTTTAAGGAGGAGCTCACAAGATGTGCTCATGGAGCTTTTGAGATGTAAACATCCAATGAAATGTGTCCATGGCTTCTGCTCAGAAACTTCCAGTAGCTCCTCATTACTCAGAGCTGGTCCCAAAGTTTTTGATTACCTCTCAGTCCTTATCTCCTTCTGCTTTTCCTCCCCTTCCTCCATTCTAGTGACTTTCCCTTTGAAAATTCAGTTTTCTGTTTTCATGGGTACTTGGGCAGGGATCCGCTTTGATGACCTCTGCTTTGCTGCCAGCTCTCTCGACACTGAAGAGTGCAGCCCTCCATCTCCCATCTGTTTCTGCCTTCATCTTTTAGAACTTGCCGCTTGCCTGACCCTGCGTGTACTGGCTCTCTTACTGGTTCTCGAACGAGCCACGCATATTGCTCCCTGGGGCCTCTGAGCTTCTGTGACTCCGCCAAGTGTGCTCCTCTGCCATTTCCAGCAGGCTTGGCCCTCCCTCCATTCACGACAAGAGTCCCACGGTCTCTTCTTCCCCATGGCCTTCTCTGGCCATTCTGTCTCTAGATCCCACTGCCTACCTGATACAGTCTTTCTGCTGTAGGGACTTTGTCTTACCCACTGCTCTATTCCTGGTTTCTAGACGTGCCTGGCAGTAGGCACCCAGTAAGACATGTTTATGTGAGAATTGCATCAGTGGTAATGATTGTAAAATAAGCCAAGAGGCAAAACAATATGATGCTGTAGTAACTTACATCCCACTAAGAGCTGAACAATACTGGTTTATGTTAGTGCCAGTGCTCCGTATTTCCCTGGGCTGCTGACTGTGAGGAGACATTGTGCTGACAAATAAGCACTTGACATATTTTATCAAATTAAGATAGTCCTGTCAAGTAGGTACTCTCCCTTGCCTTTTGACTTGTGAGGAAGCTGTGGTTTAGAGTGGCTTAGTGACTCCTGAGGTCATACAGCTTGTTCGGGTGGCATACTGAAAATGTAGTCCACAGACTTGGTGCTTTCTTTCTACAGTTTTGAGAGATTTCCATCAAACAGATTTAAGCTTTTCAGGTTCAAACTTAGATAACTAAATTCTAGTTAACCAAATCTTGGTAACTAAATTGTAGTTATCTGGGATCACCTACATGGGGTTTGGTGTCTGAATGGGTTAATCAGATATCATCAGGCTGGGAGAGTGTTTGGGGAAAAGCCCCAATCTGCTCAGGTATTGTGTTCAGGGCTTTGAGGGCCAGGTCTCGACATTTGAGAAAGTGCCGTGGAGTTTTGACAGAGCAAGGGAACAAGAAAACCCTTCTCGCTGTCGAGATGCGGCTTGCAGTCAGCCGCGCACCTCTCTGCCCTGTGCCGCTCAGCAGCCCCTCACTCTGCAAAGAGATCGCCCCCCAGAGCTTTGCAGAAAGAAGTCTTTGGTCTAGAGGAAAGGTGTCTTTTTTCAAAGACGACAAAAGAAAATGAATAATGATAGTTTAGGAAGTTTTAGGTGTATTTTGACACAGTTTTTTATTTATCTTGAAGTGACACTCCATAGAAATACACCTTAATTTGAAAAGCCAGTCTTTTAGTATAATACCGAATTCAACAAGGCTTCTTAAGAAAATTTCTAGCAGTAAGACAGTAAAACAGGAACATTCTGACAAGTTTGGAAATGACATCTTTAAGAAACAGGATAGACTTCCAAATTGGCTGGTTTATTAATTTAAACTTTCACTGGCTGCTTCTGCTCCAAATACCAGCAGTACAAAGATGAGTAAGGCTGTGGCTGTACAGCTGATGTGTGACAAGCTGGTTCGAAACTGGTGCTGGTGGGTATTTGTTACCACAGCTGCAGGACAGTCAGTCTTAGGAATACAGGAATTTCTCTTTATTCTCAATATGTATCAAAGGTTGCAAAAATGATACACAAAGTCCTGTGTAGCTTCCCTAAATGTTAAAATCTTACGTAAATGTAGTACAGTTATTGAAGCCAGGAAATTAGCACTGATACGATACTACAGTTAATCTATAGACACTATTCAAATGTTCCAGTTGTCCCACTCAGTTGTCCCACCTTTTCTGGTCTGGGACCCAGTCCAGAATTCCATGTTGCTGCTCTCTGTCGGGCCTCCTAGGTCTTATCTAATCCGGGACAGTTTCTCAGGCTGTCTTTGTTCTTCGTGACTGTGACACTTTTTGAAGAATACTGGCTGGTTCTTTGTACCTTGTCACTCAATTTGGGTTGTCTGGTATTGTTTTTTGTGGTTGTGTTGAGGTTTTGCCTTTCTGGCAAGAATCCCATAGCCAAGATGTTTCTCCTCACTGCACTTTACCAGGAAGTCCCTAATGACACTATGACTCACTTTACTGTGGTTTTAACTTGGGTCATGTGGTTAAGGTGGTGTGTAGGTTTCTCCACTGTAAGTTTCTGTTTTTCCCCTTTGTAACTGAGAAATGGCCTCTGAGGGGTATCCTGAAACTATGCCGATACCCTGTTTCTCATTGTATTTTCACCACTAACCTCAGCATCATTGATGAGTCTTTTTTGCCAAATGATAAACTTCTATTCCCCTTCTTCTAGGTTTTTAAAATTTAAAGTCTATTTTAAGAAAGAGCCATCCACATCACATTATTTAGGAGGGTCTGTGTTGTTTCTTGAAGCTGTACTTTATTTCACTACACACAAAGTGGCCAGCTAACCCTTCTCTGTGTCGGGGTTATCAATTCTTCACCCATTTAAACTTTTCAAAAACACCTCCATCTTTTCCTTCTCCTTCCACCATCAGTTGGTTAGTTTGTGGGCGTCTTGGTGCTCATCACTGGTGGTAAGGCTGGGGTTGGAGGTCAGTGTCACTAACAGGAGCAGAAGCAAAAGGGTGGTGGGGGTGTTGCATCCAGCTGCTGTTCAGGAATGTATGGGGCGCGTATAGCAGAGAAGTGGAAATGTGTGCCAGGATGCAGCAGGCTCTCGGAATAGTGACCAAAGTGAGAGGAACCGGGCAAGCTTCATGAAAGAGTAGGGGCAGTGGGGGCGTCAGCACTCCTGGGCCAGTGGGCTGTGGAGCTGGGTGCTGTGGGTTAGGGACTGAGGTGACATGATGAACTGGGCTTGACTGAGGCGACTTGAGCAGAGTTTCAGTGGAGCTGGGAGGGGAAATATGTTAGACCATGGTGGGTTGAAGCAGAGCCCCAAATCCTTAGCAGTATCTAAAGACCTGCCTGCCTCCACCAGAAGCAAGATCAGTTTGTTTTCTGCTCTGTTTTTAAGCCAGAGGTGCCTTCTCTTAGTTTCTGTTCTGCTCTTTGATTCAGGCATGTGCTTGCAGAGGACTCCCATGACTACCTCTTAATTCCCATGGGACTTTGGTTGGCTTTATTACATGATTCCCAGAGCTTTTTCTCCATCAACAAAAATGGAGTGAAATGTCAGCCTGGTCATGATTCCTGCTCACAGGGTTGCACACCTCCTTCTTCCTTTAGCCTCTGTTCTCTGTTCTGCATAGTGTCATCTGACTAATCCTTAGAAATGCACATCGTGTGGTGACACTGCTCCACTCACAGTGCTCCAGTGGCCTCCCTTCTCACTGACAACGAGCCCCACAGTCATACCATGTAGGCCCTCTGTGGTCTGCCACCTGCTGATTCCAGCTCTCTCTGAATGAAGCCCTTCTACTCACTGCCCTTGCTCAGGGGCTCTTGTGCATTTGGCACCCCAAGTGTCTTCCAGCCTCATCCTTTACACGGTCTTTTCCATCTAATCTGAACCCTTTTCCCTGCACATAAGTGCATAACTCCCTTCCTCAATCCTTTACACACCACTGGATCAGAGTCCTTCACCACCTGCCCTTTATGAAGTAATACTGTACAACTTCCTTATTCCCTTTACCTTGCTTATTTGCTTTTTTATAACATTTACCACCACCTAAGAGATATTTGTATATTTGCTGTTTGGTTTACTTGTGTAGGGCCAGCACTAGGCCTGCATTATTCACTGACCCGTAGAAATGTACCTGCTATGGAATCAGTACTGAAATAAATAATTGTTGAGTAATTACTGAAGTATTAAATAACTCTTAGTGACCATTACTGTAATGTACCAGTGGCTGTTCTAGGCATTTAGAAACTCATTTTTATTTCCCAACAACATCGTGAGGAAATTGAGGCTCAACACAGTGAGTATGTAATGGAGGATTCCAGCCTAGGGGGTTTTGATCCAGAGCCACATTCTTTCTGCGTCTCGTAGGGCTGTTGCTGATTGAAAGGAGTCATCCTATCCCAGCCTTTCACGTGCTGATGTCCTGAGGGTGGTGTCATCACCAGCATCACTGGCACTGTGCTGGGTGTTAGAGTCCCAGGCGTGGGGCCAGATGCCACATGTTGACTTTCTACCTGTTTCTCTACCATTAGTACTGAAAGCATCCTGTGTCCTGTGTGATGCTGCTGTGTGATTCTGGAACAGCCTTGGAACTGATTCTTAATCTTGCTGAACATCATTTTCCTCATCTTCTAAATGCAAATAACTATACCTCTGTTCTCTGATTATTATGTTGATTAAGAGAAATAGTGCACATAAAGTGCCTGGTAAGTTCTAAATTAAAATAAATGAAATATATTTTGCTTCTATAAATAATTACAAAGTAGAGCATCTGCAGTAAGTTATTAAACTCCTTCTAAGAGTAAAAGTGAAATGGAACCTAATTGTTTAGCACCTATGTATTTTTATAAGATGGACACAAAAATCTCAGCAGAACTCATGTGTGTATCTCTTGCATTTTTTCCATCCTTAACAGAACCAAAAGAGTCATATTCATTACTCTGTATTTTCTTCCTTGTGAGCATGTCACATTTTGTAAAAGTCAGTTACAAAAACTTTAGAAAAAATAGATGTCTTTATGATCTTAAGTAGCCAGATATTTTATAAATAAAACACTGAAAGAATTTACTGAAAAGGAAAAGAATAGGACTGTATAAAAATAATGAACTTTCTACCTCAAAAGATAAAACTAAAGTAAAAAGATTAAAAAAAAATTTTTAAAGATATCATTAAGAGAGTAAGAGGCAATCAATCCATAGAGTGGAAGAGAGTATCCCCTAGGTCTAACGAGGCCTCGCATCCAGAATACATGAAGAAAGCCTACAGGTCATTCGCCGTGGGGGTGGGAAAGGCAGGTGGCCCAGTAGAAAACAGGACAAAAATGTCAACAAACACTTCACAAGAGAAGGTACCCAAAATGGCCATCATTGTGTGAAGTAATGCCAAATTGATTATTTATCAAGGAAATGCCAATTAAAACCACTGTGTACTATTGCAGTAAATATCAGAGTGACTAAATCAAAAAGTCAAAAATAACAAGTGGAGGTGACGATACAGAGGAGCCAGAACACCCCGTGCTGCTGGCAGGGGTGCCTCTGGGCACCCTGTTTGGGCTTCCTGACCGATTCAGGCCACAGCTAATGTGTGCCTGTATGACCCAGTGGT